GGGCAGGTGCTTTGTTTAATTGGTCTACCGCAGTCGCATCTTCAACTACGAGGCGGCGCTACGGGATACTTGGGGAAATTATGCGGAAGTTAATATCTTTACGAAATGCGAACAGTGATCGATATGCGAAAAGTGGATTTTTGCTTATGAACATAGCGAGGTGAAGTGGTAACTGCTGGCAGTGTGATAATGAAAAATGCTTTTTTTTTGAGCCTCTAGTAGTTCTGGGCACTCCAATAGAACATGAAGGACAGTGAGAGGCTCACCACATATCACACAAAGGTGGATCGCCATCGGGCAAAAGGTGTTGCACTATGTGCGTGTCCTATTCAAAGTCTGCAAAGTGTTATTTCTGTATGACGCGACTTAGATATTGGCAGCCAATTATGAAGACGTGGTTTTATAAGATGTTGCTTATTTTGCTTTTCTTTATCTTGTGAGCACTGCATGCCAATAAGCTTTGATCTTCCATTTCAAAAAGGCCTAATGTCTAGTAAAGGGACAGCCATGGGTGTAATGGCAGCGTTTTCATGGACAGATGCAGCTAGCTGGTCCGCCATCGCGTTCCCCTCAATCTTACGGTGCCCTGGCACCCAGCGTACAACATGCTGTGTTAGTGCGTAAATCGTGTATTAGATTGATTAGAGAGAAATAAGGATTGGGTTGGTATGCTTTTTCACAGTTTGCAAAGCTTTTAACAGGCTTAGAGAATCTGTGTACAACTGCATTTTGTAGTTTTACTTGTTTAACGTGTTTACCGATCGCATGTATTGCATAGGCTACTGCTGTGAAAATGTTTGTGGGATGCAGAACACCAGCTCCGAAGAGGATGGCTCGACCGCTGCGTAGGATACACCTGTTTTAAATTTTGATGCATCGGTAAACAAATTCAGGATAGGAGTACTTATGCTGTGATTCGAGGAAGTTTACATGCATATGTGCAATAGATACATGCTTGGTAGCCTGCACGAAAGACACCGCAATCTATACGCTGCCACTGCCATGGGGGAGATATGCAGTGGGAGCTGTGAGATGGCGTTCAAGAAGTGGTACACCCGTTTTTTTAGCGAAGCGCCTCACACCGAGTGAGTAGGACTGTTTCAACGAAGGACGGCTGTCAAAAAGCAGCACCGGACAAATCAATGATTGTGCAGTGAGATGGGTGTTCTTTTTGTGTGTTAACTTTTAGGTAATATAGAAATGACATGTACAGTCGAACCTCGATATATCGAACAGCGCGGCACTCGTGAAATAGTTGGATATATCCAGAATTCGATATCAAAAAAATTAAGTAATAAATGCGTCACAAACTTTTGGAAAATGAATCAATCGCGATGCAGTAAGTACTCACTCGAGGATTCAAACAAAGCATTTATTGTGTCGGCTTAAAGTACTGAGGAATGGTAGTGGTCGCAGACTGATATACTACCACCCTGTAGTCCAGGGGAGTGCAAATGAGGTTTTCATAGAGATTGAGAAGGCACTCCTTGTCGCTACCATATGTAGTGTGCCACCACACTTTAAGGATGTTCATTGATTTTTTACAGTTGTTTTTAGGTATTTTCTGTGAGGTACAAAGGTTAGTTTTGCGTACACAATAACCCTAGAAGATTTTTGTTCCCTTATTGCAGGTAGACGTTGATCCTGCAGATCAATGTCTGGATCAAGGTGTAGTCAACGTTTTTTGGAAAATACGATGCAAGGGCTCTATTGTGGATTTAAACTGAAGGCGTTCTCACCTGCCCACTTAGCCAGCTTGTTCAAGCCAAGCCGTACTTGCCGTTCACACGTGGCAACACCACACTATTTAAAACCTATTTGCTCATCATTGACATATGTACAATAAAGCATAGTGGGTGGAATGCAGGTGTTCAAAGAGTTTATTTTGACAATAAATAGTGTGGAACTGCGCGCACTCCTCCCTGGGGCATTTCTCTCTCACACACGAAAAGTGCAGTTCGACTAGGAACTTTTCAATATACTGAATATTCTGCCTCTTGCACCCTAGTCTCAGAAGTCCCTTAGCGTTCCAAACCGCCAGGTAGTGTTGTTCGCCTTCTCCATATTGAGAAGTATGGATAAAAATTGTTTGAGGGCGAAAGCTTCACAGATGGGGAATTCGATGCGTACAAGATGGTCAGTCGTAGATCGCCCCTCTCAAAACCCGCACTGATACAGGTCGATCTGCTTGTTTAAGGTGGTGGTTGATTATTTTCAAGCAATTTACACAGACAACTTGTTAGTGCAATGGGGTGGTAACTCGAAACAGAAGATCCCTGTTTATCCCTGTTTCAAGACACTGATAATAAAGGCCTTTTTTCAAGAAACGGGGATTTTGCTAGAGAACCATAGGCCGTTTTAGAGAAAAAAAAGTTTTTTCTGTCTTTAAAATGTGAGTTGTTTCAACATGTCGTAGATTACGCGGTCGGCATCTGGGGCAGATTTGTTGGAGCAGTAGTAGTCCTGCCTGCAGCTTTGCTAAGCAAAAAGGTTGGTTGTATCCTTCCTTTCCCACATATGTTTTGTCTTTCTATATGATTTTTGTACCTTTGAAAAGTGTCGGAGTAGTGCAATGCACTGGATACATGTTGGAAGCATGCACTTAGAAAGTTAGCGTGGTCTTTCAAGGAGTCACCATGTGTGTCCACCAAAGGAAGCAAAGATGTTTCGCGTCCATTCATCTTACTAACTCTGTCTAATACCTTTGCCTCATCGGTGTAGGAATTGATGCTCGAGAGGGATTTCTGCCAACTCTCTCTTCTTTATTGCTTGCGGATGCTCCGACCTCGCGATTTGACAAATCGTGCAGCAGCCCCCAGGCTTTGTTATGTTTCTTAAAGCACTCATCATTCCACTATGGAGCTCGAAATTTGCCTGTGACATGTTTACTATAAGAATACTCTGTGAGGCAGAATCAACATAAGAGTAGTAAAATACTGGAAAGTCGAATCGAATCTCGAGGAAGACATGTGTGTCTATGAGATGTTAGTAAGAGACTGCAACTTTCCCAGTCGGCTTAATTCAGCTTTCACCACAGGCCTTGCGGTGGTGATCTGCTTTGTTTCAGTGTTTTCAGTAGTATTTTGAGAAGTGCTCGCTCCCGTACGGGTTTTAACTACTTCCATGTTAAAATAAGGTAAAACGGTGGCAGAGATGATGCTAAGATCGATGGATGGATATGTTTTGTTCGCGAGGCTTAAAAACGGATCTTTTTTATTTAGCAGGCATGAACCAGTAAAAAACAGGAAATTCTATACCAGATGACCTCGAGCGTTGGTGCACCAGTCGCCTCACAGGCGGCTGTGGGCATTGAAATCGCCGAGAACGAGGTAAGGTTCCGGCGATACATTGATGAAAGACTGAAATTCATGCTTGTGTGATTGGTAATGTGGGTGTATGTAGAGTGAAGAAATAGGTGTTACAGATTGTGGGTTGAGGAGTACGAACGTTTATTTACGCCAGGCCACACTCCGCCGGCAAACACCAACTGAGAACATGCGTATCAAAAACAACTCGGCACCACTTCAACGCCGCCAGGTGGAGCGGCCACACATCACATGTTCGTAGCTGTCTTTCCTGTTGCCGCCAAACCTAGCGGCCACAGTCACACAACACAACACCCTTCCCCTCCAAGTTTGAACTCGGCAGTCAGCCAAGGCCAGTACGTAGTCTCTTAGATGGTGCGAGGTTCCCCAAGCACGCTGCGAGCGACGAAGGCACAGTGGTGGCACTAAAGGCTCGCCATTTGCCTCCACTGGGACAGTCAGTGGAACGGTTCCGCCCTCCCGTGGGGGCACACTGCTAACCACAGGAGTCGGCTGCTCCCCAGGTGCGTCTGGCTCCACAGGGGCCGAACTCGAGCCTTCAGGGGCCACCGGGACAGAACTCGAGCCTTCAGGGGTAGACGTTGACATCGGTCGTCTTTCAGGCTGCGGTCTTTCCAGTTCTGCACCTGCCGTTTGGGTAGGCCTGACCGTCCGGCGACGGAGTTGGTCCACATGCCTGCGCAGTACTCGACCATCAGGGGCCGTGACCTCATAAGATATTGGTCCGTTTGCATGGGAGATCACTGCTGGAATCCACAGAGGCCCCTGAGCATCGTTACGTGCGAAGCCAGGGTCTTCTGGCTGAAACGTGCGTGGTTTGGACGGGGAATCTGCCAACCGTGTGGACTTCTCTGGGGCCCGATCAGGGTGCAGGCGGTCCAACATCGTTGACAACTTGCGGCCCATCAGGAGCTCGGTCGGGGATCGCCCCGTAGTCGTGTGTGGGGTTACGTGCTGCTGCAGTGTGAAATCTGCCAGGCGCCGTGCCCAGTTCCCCTGGATGATGCGAGATAGGCCTTTCTTGGTAGTGCGTACCATTCTTTCTGCCTGGCCATTCGTAGATGGGTGGAATGGTGCCGAAGTTACCTGGCGGATCAGATTGCTGTCCAGGAACTCTCGAAACTCTGTGGACTTAAACTGAGCTCCGTTGTCTGAGACAATGGTGTCTGGGAGACCATGCGTGGCAAACAGTTTCCATAATGCACTGATTACTGTCTGTGACGTCATAGAGGATGTTGGGATGACCTCCAGCCACTTTGAATACGAATCCACGACGATTAAGAAGGTCTGCCCTTGAAAGGGACCAGCAAAATCCATATGGAGGCGGGACCATGGGTTCCGAGACGCCTCCCAAGGGTGGACGGGTGCTCGAGGCATCTCTGGCCGCGTCTCCTGACAAGAGGAGCAGCGTCGGACCCATTCTTCAATGGCAGCATCCATGCCTGGCCACCACACATAGCTGCGGGCAAGTGCCTTCATCCGGATAATACCAGGGTGCCCAGAATGCAGTGCTTCCAGCACCCGGAACCGCAGCTTTTGTGGAATCACCACACGGTCACTCCAGAGTAGGCAACCCTTGTGGGCAGTCAGTTCGTGCTGCCTTGATGTGAAGGCAGAAAACTCTGGGCCCATGCTGCCCCTTGGCGACCCCTTCCAGACCCAGTTAAGAACACGTTAAAGGGTGCGATCTTTGGCAAAGTGGGTGGCAATGTCCGCTGCATGGAAGGGTGGTTCTGGCAGCGCATCCAGGAGCATGACAACCTCTGCGGGAGAGGGGTCATCGTGGCACTGGTGCTGTAAGGGCAGTCTGCTGAGGCCGTCCGCATGGCCCAAGTGCCTCCCAGCCCGGTGGAGCAGCGTATGTTGGTATCCATTCAGGAAGATAGACCAGCGCAGCATCCGCGGAGACAGCATCTGTGGTGTCTGGCGGTCAGACGTGAACAACCCGAGCAGTGGCTTGTGGTCCGTCTGGATCTGAAAAGGCCGGCCAAACAGGTAGTCGTGAAACTTTTTGACGCCTGCAACCACGGCAAGTGCCTCCTTATCGATCTGTGCATAGTTTCGCTCTGCACTCGACAGGGTCCTTGAATAAAAGGCGACCGGTGCTTCTGTGCCGCCGGGCAATCGGTGGCTCAACACAGCTCCTATTCCGTATGGGGACGCATCACAGGCAAGTATGAGAGGTTGCTTCTCATCATAATGCGTCAAGACTTGATTGGATGCCAAGAGTTCTTTCACGCTTTCAAACGCTCTTTGTTGTGTTTGGCCCCACACAAAGGTGGCCTTCTTGTCCAAAAGTCGGTGTAGTGGTTCCGCAACAGTGGCCTTGTGTGGCAAGAACGCATGATAGAAGTTCACCAGTCCCAGGAATGCCTGGAGTTCGGTCTTGTTTGACGGGCGAGGTGCACCAAGAATGGCCTGTGTTTTTTCTGGGGTCGGATGGATGCCCTCGGCGTCTGTTCGAAACCCCAAGAACTCGACTTGGGCGACACCCAGCTGGCACTTCTCTCTTTTTACCTTCAGCCCAGCATCCTGGAAACAGCGAAGGACCTCGCGAAGGCGAGAGAGCAATTCTTGACCTGACGGCCCTGCAATTAGCACATCATCAAAATATGGAATTACACCTGGTATTCCACGTAGGAGGGTTTCCATTAGATTTTGAAAGATGCCAGGTGCGACACTGACACCAAGCTGCATTCGGCGTACCTTGAACGCCCCCCGATGTGTTACGATGGTCTGTGCTGCTGCAGACTCATCGGTGACAGGCAGCTGCTGGTAAGCCTGGGCCAAGTCGAGCTTTGCAAAAATGATTCCGCCTGAGAGAGAAGCCAATACGTGGCTGACCACCGGCACCGGATATGCATGCTGCTGGAGGGCCTTGTTAATGGTACACTTGTCTGCACAGATGCGGATGTCTCCATTTCCCTTCAATGGTGTGACAATAGGGGTTTCCCACTCCGCGCAGTCCACTGGCTCCAGAACACCCTGCTGTAGCAGCTTGTCAAGCTCGGCATCGATCTTTTGGCGCAGTGCAAAGGGCACCCTCCTTGCCTTTAGGCGGACTGGCACCACCTCCGGGTTCAAGGCCAACTTCACAGGTGGTCCCTTGTAGCACCCCAGTCCCCCGTCAAAGACAACAGCAAACTCCTCAAACAGCTTGTCAAATGCCGTGGCCAGTTCGTCCATGCAATGCACTCCGGTGACCTTAATTCCTAATGCTGGAAACCAGTCTAGTCCAAGGAGGCTTTGACGCTGCCCTTTGACAATGACAAGTTTCAGTGGGCCAGCAAAACCCCTGAATTTTACTGTAACTGTGGCCATCCCTTGCACTGCTATGCAGTTTCCCTGATAGTCCTTCATAACGACGTCGAGTTGCTTCAACTTCGGGATGCGCCCATTCGGGAAGATTTGCCTGGCTGTAGCTTCGGAGATGAGCGAAAACGTGGATCCCGAGTCCACCTCCATCTCGCATTCCACACCTTTGATTTCGACAGCAACGTGAATCTTCTTTGTCCCGGGCTGGGGCACATCGTGGATGGCGGTCTCCGTGAGGTTGTCGCAGTACGAGGTACTCGCACGCGGAGTGGTCCGCGAATTGTCCGTCCTGCCGTTTGTCTCAAAATTTGCACGGCGGTCCCGCTTCCGTTGAGACCGGCAGACCTTGGCTATGTGCCTTGTTTTTCCGCAACCTCGGCATTGGGCATCACGGAGACGACGCAACCGGCGCTCGTGCGGCCCCCCACAACCGGCACAAGATCCGCCCCCCAGTCCTGCGTCCCTGCGTTGACTGGTGTCTGCACGCAACTGACGAACACATTCCTCGAGGCCGTCCTGGTCCTTTCCACAGTCGGCGACCGTTCCCTGGTGCACTGGCTTGGTACGTGGCGCGGTTGCGTTTAGTTGCGACTGGCTGGCCTCACGGTCGATGGCCTCAGCGGTGGTAGCTTCCTCGACGGCGCAGGCGAGCGACACTTCTTTTTCGCCAAAATGCGCCGTTTAGCTTTATCGTTTCTCAGGCCAAAAACAAAACGGTCTCGGAGTGCCTTATCAAGGTCAACGAAGTTGCAGTGCTGTGCAGTCGTTCGCAGAGCCGCGAGGTATGCAGCGACAGACTCACCGGTTGCTTGCTCTCTGCGATGGAACTCGTATCGCCGTAGGTTCGATTCCTGCTCACAGCTGGTAATTTTTTCATCCACTTTTCTTTCTTCTTTCTTCCTATTTACATTCCATTGGTTCTAATAACTTCCCCTGTACATTCTTTGGCAATACTGTCTGTTATATCTCATTAATATTGTGTTAAAACACGGAAATACGAGCCCTTAGGTATACAGTTCTCTCAATATATATATATAAATATATATATATATATATATATATATATATATATATATATATATATATATTGTGTGTGTGTGAGAGAGAGAAAGAGAGAGAGATCTAACAGGCTATAATGCCACGGAATGTATAGGGAAAGGTATTAGAACCAATGTAATATATGACGCTATGATGTATTGGCGACGTTGCTTGGCTCATACCCCATGTTTATTCCATACTGCACTTCTTCCTCCTCAGCCTCTACCTTCAGTCACTACCTACTTACGTTACACACACACACACACATACACACACACACACACACATATATATATATATATATATATATAGATGAAATAGATGTTTAGAGTTTCTTCCGGCTACCGTAAAAAAAGTTATAAACTTCGAGAATAGTGCAGTATAGGAAACAAAACAATAAAATATTTATTTATTCCTAACAGTTTCGGCTGGTGGACCAGCCTTCTTCGGAGGATGTAAGTGAAATGATACAAGTTCCCGAAGCAGAGGGTCACCCTCACAGTTTAAAGACCCTCCAAAAAAAAAAGAGAGACAAACGGGCGAACGATGTAGCAGCAGACAACAAGAAGCAGAAGAAGGAGAGGAACTAGAAACGAGCGACGGAGAGCCGCCGAAAACGAGCGGGTAATTCTGGCATTGTTACTGGGTATAGGTAAGACGCGCCGCCAGCGGAGGCGACCAAGAAAAACGGAAAAATGTGGAACATGTTGCCGCTTACTCGCATCCCACACATGGATCGAGTTTAAGTTCACGTGGCTCGGCGGCTGGCCCGTGGCATCGGGCCACACACACACACACACACACACACAAGAAGCATACGACACGCTCCAGCTTTCGGAATATAATGGCCACGTTGGAAAGCTAATGTGCCCTCTCCCCCTCCCTCCACCTGCCCTCTCTTGCAGAAAAATGTACAACCAGTCATACTGAAAATAAATGAATGGGTATTCTTGTAAAGGATGAACAAACAAAAACGTAAACAAAAAATATATAAAAATCAATATTACTAAAAAAGTACTCAGAAATGAAAATAAAGTCTAATAATACTAACACACGCCGTTTGGTTCACATAGCATCGAATTCGTTTAGTTTCACGCGCTATATTGACCAACTTGCGTGTGCGACTTCCCGTATGTATAAATAAATTGATTGAGTAATTCAATTTCTGTGTTTCACGAAACGTCGCGGAGGCATGTCAGTCGCCCAGGGCTCTCGTTGATTCCGTGGGTAAGTGATCTCAATTTCTTTATAAAGTATGACTCCCGCTGTTCGCGCTCGCGTGTGTTCTGGAAGCCGGATTGTAGGAGTATGACACTTACGCATTCGAAAGAGTGACCAGGAAGATTGATATGTTTGGAGAACGGCAAATTGGGGAGGCCCTTTACGTGTGCCCTGTGGTTGTTGAAACGCAAACGGAACGCGGTTTCCGTGTGTCCAATATATTCCTGTTTGCACACCTCACAGCGAATTTTGTATACCACATTGGCTGAGTCACAGTTAAGGTCGTCTTTAATTTTGTACACATAGTCTGAACAGGAGGCTTCGGCCGTATCTGTGGTCACCATGTGTGTGCACACCCTGCAGCGAGGTTTCCCGCACGGTCTACAGCCCTGATGGTGGTCGGATTTGTGTGTTTTCGCCCTGACCAGTAAGTCTCTCAGGTTTTTATTTCTTCGGTAAACCACCTTGGGTGGAGTCTGAAAAATGGCAGAGAGGCGACTACTCTGTTTAAGTATGTTGAAGTGGCGGTTTAGTATAGAATTCACCCGAGGGGCGGCGGCGCAGTATGTGAGGATTAAATTTGCCCCTGAAGTTATATCATTTTTATTCCCACCTTTTTCTCCCATTGTTGATTCTCGGTCCAAAGAGCGAGCGCGCTCAATTGCATTGTCAATTATTTTTTCGGGGTACTTTTGACGCAAGAAGGCTGTTCTCAATTCCTGTGCGTGGGTGTCAAATTGCGTGATTTCAGAGCAAATTCTTCTGTATCTGTGTGCTTGAGAGTAAGGAACACCTGTTTTGCAGTGATGGGGGTGACTGCTATGGAAATGCAGGTACTGTTGGCGGTCAGTTGGTTTTTATACAGGGAAGTAGATATGGTGGTGTCACTGAGTGATACAGTGACATCCAGAAAGTGAACACTCTTCTGCGAATACGTGTGCGGGAATGTTATCGAAGGATGCACGGGGTTGAAACCGGAAATGAATTTGGAAAGATTATGTTCACTATCGGCCCACACGAAGAATATATCATCGAGGAAGCGTCCGTAAAATATAGGTTTGAATGGAGAATTTTGGAGGAAAGGAATCTCCGAAGAGGCCATGAAAATATTTGCGTAATTTTGGGCCATTTTGGTTCCCATGGCATTTTCGTTTACTTGCAGATAATATTTTTGGTCGAATTCAAAGTTATTATGTTTAAGTACAAGATTTAGGAGCACCTCTAAAGCGCTTTCGTCGAATTCACTCGTCGATTTACTTTTCCATAGGCGGCGACTCTGGCGGCGATTCCTTCGGTGTGGGGAATGTTTGTGTACAGTGATGAGACATCCATGGTGACCAAATAGCAGTCTAGAGGTACCACAAGTTTTCAGACTTCTCGAAGGAAGTGGCTGGTATCTTTGATGTATGATGGGAATGATTGTGGGATGTGTCTAATCAGAGAGTCAATGAAACTAGGGATTTTTCAGTAGCAGTACCGTTGCTGGAAACTATGGGTCGGCCGGGATTGTTAATCTTGGGAATTTTGGGTAGTAAATAGAAACGCCCGGGAGACGATTTGCCAGGTGACATCATTTTAAGCATAGGGTAGGTTATCTTACCATTTTTACGTAATGATATTAGTGAGGCCTTAATAGTACTTTCATACTCCTCTGTCGGATCACAAGGGAGTTGTTTATAGAAATTTTCATCTGCCAGTTGGTGAAGCCATTCTTTGATGTAGTCAGTCCTGTCGAGTACAACCACAGCACCACCCTTATCAGCTGGTTTAATAACGATGCTCTGGCTGTCACTTAAACTGCGCAAAGCCTCCCGCTCCTCTTTGGACAGATTGTTGCGAATGGGTCGGTGCTTTTCATATTACCTGATTATATCACCTTGGACGGCTGAAATGTACATGTCTAGATATTTGTCTCGTTGTTCACCTGGAGTCCAAGATTTATCTGAAAATTGATTTTGTTGCGTGCTGCTTCGGTCATGAAAATATTCTTTTAGACGCATGGTTCTGGCAAAGTTGTCCAAATCTTGGTAAAGTTTAAACTCATCAATTTTGCCAGAGGCGGGGCAGAAGGTTAGACCTTTTATAGCAGCTTTGTTTGCGCAGGTGTCAAAGATTTGCTGGAAAGGTTACACACATTGGTGACATCGATGCTCTTTTGTGGAGATTGATGAGAGGTAACAGGTTGATCTGTATACGTTGTGGGAGGATTGCTGGCGGAGTATTTTAAAGTCGGCCACGCACCGTCTCACCTAAATTTCTTGTCCTTCTTGCCCTGAATTGTCAATCTCTTTTTTCTTTTGTATTTGGCCAGCTCTTTTGTTTCTGACTGCGTCAAGCTTGACTGTTTTAGTCGCGCCTTTTCTTCCTTCCTCTTTAAGTTCCGCGGCCCTACGTGTACTGTGTTGTACTACGACCTGTGTAAGCCTAATAGATGCATCTTTTAAGATATTGCTCCACTGCCGCTGCTCATTTTTGTTGAAGTTATTAATTGCGGGTTGCAGTTGAACAGTGAGACGACCCTTTGGTGCGAATCCCGGTGAAATATATGCTTTAAGGTTTGAAGCATGCATTTCAAACCTCACGCGCTTATCAACATTGTTTCTTAAGGCCATGAAATCACGAGACCAACATGTGCTGGAGTGGGCCTTACCTGACGGGTTGTTGAGTCAGTCCCTGCGTGGGGGAGAAGCACTGTCACCGGAAGCCTCTGGGTGGTCCCGAGTCGTGTTGTAGGGGCTCTTGCTTCCTGATCTATGAGGAGCACCCCTCGGCGCTCGTGGTGATGATCGTCGGCACGGGATCCCGCTTGCTTCGCGGATGCTGGGGTTCTCACTCCGGGAATGACAATGTTCTCTCGGTGGGCCCGGCAGACCTAATGGTGCATGGTCAAGCCAGGTTGACGGCGACCTCACCATATTTCGCAGAAGCAGCGATCTCAGGTAGCTGGCAATGAGGGCAACACCGTCAAAACTTGGGTGTATACCATTGGTCGCCAGAACCTGGCCAGGCGGAAGCCATTCCAAGGCGTGATCGATGTAGAAGAGAGTCCCGCTTCGACGACAGTGCAATCGAAGGAGGTGGTTGAAGTGGCCCGCTTCTCTGTTGAACCGTACGACGAAGGGCCGGTTGAGGCACGCGCGCCTGCGGTCTGTGGCCCTCGGTAGCACCAATGTGGTGAAGATCTTCTTAATCTCTGGCCGCTGCTCCACGATTCGGCTCACCATGTCCTTGTATTTTTGAAACACTACAGTGGCTGAGGAGGAGGCTATGTCATTCGTACCCACTGTGCGTGGAATAAAGTTCAGCAGTGAGAGTGCTTCCTGCATAAACAGTCCAGATTGAGTCATGAAGACAGGCGTGTTTGTTCGACGGGGGTCAAAATGGTTGTAGAGATACTTTGCTTGAGAGTCACCGATGATGGCTGTCAGTTGAGGGATGGTGGGGGAACATCCATGTTAACTGTTTCCTTGCAGCACTTGCAGTAGCCATGAGTATATATATGTATATATTAGGAGGGTTCAATAGAGTGTTCAAAGTTTATAGCCATAAATAATGTATTGCGTTCGGCAGCAGTGGCAGCCATTCGCCAACGAGCCCAACAAGGGGACATTGCAAAAAACGAAGGAACGGCTTACGTGAGCCACATGTGAAGCACCCCAAGGCGGGGTGAACACATTAGGTTAAGCCCTGCGGCTAGGAAGAAGCGGGCGTAAACCCAAAAGATAAGTAGACAGGACAGACAAAATGATAAAGACAAAGATATAGCGAGAGAATAGGAAACGGTGACGGACATCTTATTGGGTTTCCTGCATCTTCTGTTTCGGTCTGTGGCAACTATAGGTAGTATCTGCATCTCTGCTTACAGTACATGGAGACATGCCTCTAACTGTAAGGCAGTAGTGCCTTGAGCTGCCATACTCCATTAGTACGGGCTACACCACTGTGCTTGTCCCCCACGTGTCAATCCCAAATGTTTTGTTTCTGGAGACTGGCATTTCGCATATTGCACATGACTCGCAATTTCGTGATCATGCTGGTCACTACCTTTGTGCACCTTTTTAAAGAAATTTACTGCTGAATAAACTGGAAAAAGCCGCTTATTCAATAACCTGTTCCTGAAAATTCAGTCTCTAATTGTTCTTTTGTTTTGTGGCACAAAAATGGCTCGCTTATTGGTGTTATAGTTAGTAACACCTCAGTGTAATATGGCAGGTGCATGAATGATTGTTTTGGGAACGTGATGATTAGGCCTTTTTCCACAATATAGGTCACTGTACACAATCTTGCGTGTTTTCACTGAGCCAAAACGACCACTTTTTCGGGACAACCTGACAAACAGCCAAGCCCCTCTACCAAGGGCGCCTGCGCGAGTAGGCGTTTGGTGTGTAGCGACACCACGGACCCGAGCTAACGCAGGAGTTTATATTCCCTCCCACGCCTAGCCGTGCGGGGCTTTGCCGTGTCAGGGGAAAAGGGGATCCTGGGGGTTGAGCCGACGCCGGGTGGGTGATTGGACTTTTAAGGAAGGCCCCCCGGCGGAGGCAACACACCCCTTTGGCCCCGGCTTCACGTAGACTGCACCCCTGGGCTGACCCACCCAGGGGAAATCGGCAGTCGCCTTTTCCTATCTCTCTCTCTCCCTACATCTTCGTCTTTATCTCTCACTATTTATCTGTCTTGTCTTCTACTCTCTTCTGCCTACTTCCTACCTTCTTGGCGGCTAGGGTTAACCCTGTGCAAATAGCCTACCTTGGTCTAGGTGCATTGGGTTATAGTAGCGTTGTACGGCTGGCGTCTGCAGGTTTTAGCACCCGCAAACTTGTAGCGTCCCCTCATTGGGCTCCGTGGTGGGTGGCCGCCAACGCTTCTGAAGAAAATTAAACTGGCATGCATAGAGCATTTCCCTTATTAAGTGATCGTACCGCCTTAAAGCGCGTACACTCCGAAGACTTGGGATTTTTCAGCTGATCAGTGAAAACTTCCCCCATTTTCATGTTATACATAGTGAGATAAGCAGCAAGCAAGCCAGAACTGTATCCCCCTTTGTAGTAGCCAGACGTCTCACAGAAACTCTTGGAGCCGGGTACAAGGTTACCAAAATGGCCAGCGGAGACCTCCTCCTTCAAGTTCGAGAGAAAGAACAGTTTGAAAAGCTACAGAATCTTTCAACTTTTGGTGACACTCCCATCACTGTAACGCCACACAGATATATGAACACAACCCATGGAGTAGTATCTGATGCTGATTTGCTTGGCTTGACCAAAGAGGAACTTGTGGAGGGGTGGAAGAGTCAGAATGTGACCAATGTACAAAGAATCATTATTAGAAGAGACAACAAGGTAACAACAACGAAACACCTAATACTCACGTTCAATTCCAGTTATCTGGCAGAATGTATTCAAACAGGGTACACGAAGACGTCGATCATACCTAACCCACGTCGTTGCTTTAAATGCCATAAGTATGGCCACGGCTCACAAAGCTGTCGTGGTCACCAAATTTGTGCACAATGTGGAGTGTCAGGCCACAATTCTGACAATTGCGAAGAACCATCACACTGTGTGAACTGTGGCGGAAATCATGCCGCATACTCACGGTCTTGCTCATTTTGGAAAAAAGAAAAAGAAATTATCACATTGAAAATAAAGAAAATATCACATTCAAAGAAGCAAGACGAAGAGTGTCGCCATTTTACGGCGCTACATATGCTGATGCGGCGCGTCAGAGGGCAACGCCGCACCAGCCCTCGCCACCCCTTCGGCCAGCACAGAGCGAGCCGTCGGCATTGGCGCCTGCCCCCAAGGCGGCAGTAGTTCAGTCTACTCCACCTCCTAGCGAATTGAGGCCGGAGACTCCAGGGTCCTCTGGTCTCAAGGCCTCCCCTCACCAGGCGAAGCCTAAAGTCCGAACCACCAGCTCGCATGTGCGGGCACCCAGTGCCTCTGAGGAGGCAATGGATACAACGGTATCCTTGGTACTGAAAGAGCGGTGCGCCTCCTTGGAGCGCGCCAAGAAAAAACTACCTACCTGCACAGCGCCACCTCAATAGCCGCTTCTTGGCATTCTTGCTTGAATTCCTCACAGTCACATTGCTCATCGTCGACTTCATACCTCCCGACACCCTCTCCCTCGTCGTCTTCTTCTTCAGACCAATAATGGGGCCAGACGACCGTCCTGCCGCCTGAATTAACAAGCTCACTCTAACGCAGGATACTCTCTGTACACACAGCAGCATCTCTTTCTTTAATATGCCCACAGAAATATTACAGTGGAACATCCGAGACCTTCTTCAAAACCTCGATGACTTACAAGAACTCTTCCATGAACACAATCCTAGAGTGCTGTGTGTACAAGAGACACTCTTAAAACGAACAAACACAAACTTTTTACGTAACTACGTAATCTTCCGAAAGGATAGAGATGATGCCATGCCACCATCCGGTGGCGTAGCGGTTATAGTTAGTCATGGTATACGCAATCACCCCTTCAAACACTCTTAAAACGAACAAACACAAACTTTTTAGGTAACTACGTAATCTTCCGAAAGGATAGAGATGATGCCATGCCACCATCCGGTGGCGTAGCGGTTATAGTTAGTCAAGGTATACGCAATCACCCCTTCAAACTTCCCTCGAGGGGGTGGCTGTCCGAGCAGTTATTCTAAACAAACTCGTCACTGTCTGCTTTTTGTACATACCTCCGCACCACCGTCTTGAAAAACTTAAATTCCATTCTTTAATAGACGAACTACCTGAATCTTATCTGGTCCTTGGGGACCTGAACGCACATAATGGTCTGTGGGGTGACTCTCGCTGTGATGCACGAGGCCGCCTCATTGAACAGTTCCTCATTTCATCAGGTGCTTGTCTGTTGAATAGGAATGAGGCAACATATTATAACCTTGCCAACAAAACTTACTCTTCCATAGACCTCAGTATCGCATCTCCTTCACTTGTACCATTACTTCAGTGGAAAGTCATAATCCATATGGAAGTGACCATTTTCCCTTAGTTTTGAGTACACCAATATTGTATGAATGCTCTCCACATGTTCCCAAATGGCTGGTAAACAAAGCCGACTGGGAACAATTTCAAAAGATTACTCACTTGAGTTGGACTGACATATGCGGATTAGGTATAGATGAAGCTGTGCAGTACTTCACGGCTTTTCTTACTGACGCAGCAGTCAAGTGCATTCCACAAACATCTGGACTGCCAACAGCGGAAAACCTTGAGAGCTTTAAGAAAATAAAATCTCGAGGCAGGAGAATGCGTCGTCAAACCAGAAGAGAAAGCTGGCACAAGTTTTTATCAGGGATAAATTCATATACACACGAGGCTAAAGTCTGGAACATGGTTCGTAGGGTAGTAGGAAGACAAGTACACTCACTCCCACTCGTAAACACACAGGGTGACAGCCTGGAAGATCTGGCGAACTTCCTCGGTGCGCACTACGAGCAAGTGTCTAGCTCGTCACACTGTACTGAATCTTTCCAAAGATATAAAGCAAAGATAGAAAAGCAGAAACTAGAATACAAGTGTACAAATCACGAGGCATAAAACCAACCTTTCAACTTAGCTGAGCTACAAACATCACTAAACTCTTGCAATAATTCCGCTCCAGGCTAAGACCGTGTCACATATGAAATGTTGAAAAACTTGCCGCTCGAAACGCGAAAAACTTTACTCTCTCTATACAATGCTATCTGGCTTTCAGGTACCATCCCTGCTTCTTGGAAAGAGGCTATTGTTATCCCTATTTTGAAACAGGGCAAGGACCCTTCCTCAGTTTCAAGTTATAGGCCCATTGCACTAACCAGCTGCGTTTGTAAACTTTTTGAAAAAATGATAAACCGCCGACTTTTACATTTCCTTGAAACACACAATCTGCTCGACCAATTTCAGTGTGGGTTTCGGGAGGGTAGATCCACCACCGACCATCTGGTGCGTATCGAGGCACAGATCCGAGACGCTTTTGTCCACAAACAACACTTCCTCTCAGTGTTTCTCGATATTGAGAAGGCTTACGACACAGCATGGCGTTTTGGGATATTAAGAGACTTGTCTCACCTGGGTGTGCGCGGTAGAATGCTTTCCATAATCGAGAGTTACTTGTCCAATCGGAAATTCCGCGTCCGTGTGGGCAGTACTCTCTCTCAAATATTTGTGCAAGAAACGGGAGTACCGCAAGGTGGTGTACTTAGTTGTACACTTTTTATTATAAAAATGAATTTCTTGCACCTGTCCATCCCCCGCAACATGTTCTATTCCAATTATGTCGATG